TAGAAGGCGAATACGAGTTATAGATAAAGCTGTTACATAGTCTATATTTAGTGTTGTGGTGATAAGCCGAAATTCCTAAGAGTAAATGTAACCAGTAAGTTACTACACCAGTTAATACAATTTTGTGTTTCAATACCACGTATCCACTATTTTGGAGTAAAATCCTACTCTTTCTTCCATAATATTCAATTCATCCTTGATCAAAATTTTTATAATAAAATTTTCCTATAAAAAGAAATTTTTGATTTATCAAATATAAAGTTATAATAGGAAGATTTCATATATACCCCATAAATATTGATAATTTATAATTTTGAAAAATTTTAAAAATATCAAAAAAAAGCCGCATTATTAAATTCATATCCTAAAAACCCACCTAATAAAATTACAATTAATGTTAATAATTTTATAAAAATAGGTAATAAGATAAAATAAGGAGTAATATTAGTTATTAATCTTCCTATAAAAATAACAAAAGAAACTAAGCCTATTATACCCTTCATTATTAAAAAATTACCCTTTTCTTCAATTTGATTTAAATTTGTTAAATTATTAGTACCAAAAAAATATAATATGAAAGACGTAAAGAATAAGATACTGTTATTCCAATAGATAAATAAAATAAAGTGTATACAATAATATTGTTAATTTGTAATGAAAAAATCTCAACAATTAAATCCTTAGAATAAAATCCAGATATAACAGGAATACCACACAAAGCAAAATTACTAATATTTATACAAATACAAGTAAAAGGCATTCTTAAAGTAAGACCTCTTATAAAACGAATATCTTGACAATTACCTATATTATGAATGATTATCCCAGCATATATAAAAAGCAATGCTTTAAATAAAGCATGTATAATTAAATTAAAAAAAGCTAAGTCTCTTCCACCTAAACACAAAATAACAATTATTATACCTAATTGTCTTAAAGTAGATAATGCAATAATTTTTTTTAAATCAAACTCAAAATTAGCACAAGTCCCAGCCATAAATATAGTCATTAAAGAAATACGTAACAAAATAAATAAAAATTTTCTAGAAATCCGTATTTCAATTCGAATTAGTAAATAAACTCATGCAGTTACTAAAGTAGAAGAATGTACTAATGATGAGACAGGAGTAGGAGCTGCTATAGCAGCAGAAAGCCATGAAGAAAATCTGAAATCTGAGCTCTTTTAGTTAAAGCTGCTAAAATTATAAATAAGTACAATAAAAGTATAAAAGCATCATTATTGGATAAATCTAAATAAAATAAAAATCTTCAATTACCAAAATTAGAAGCTAAAGCAATACTTATTAATAAAACAAAAATATAACAAACAAGGTAGCATTACTGTACTGTAAACTATCTGTATCATTTTCAAAATGTTCTTGCAAATGGGTGTAAGAATTATCTTAGTTAATTTGGTCATTTTATTGAAATTTACAAATAGTCCTAAATTATATTACAATATAAAATCC